CAACCAGTCTGGCTAGGATCAAGAAAACAAATGATACCAAATGCTGGCGACGATGTGGAGAAAGGGGAACACTCATTCACTGCTGGGCTGGTGGGATTGCAAACTTGTGCAGCCTCTATGGAAAACAGTGTGGAGGACTCTTAAGAAACTAAAAATGAGCCTACCATGTGACCCTGTTATACCACTCCTTGGTATATACCCAAAGGACTCATCCTATTGCAGAGACACTTTTACATCCATGTTTATTGCTGCTCTTTTCACAATGGCTAAGAGATGAAAGCAACTTAAGTGTCCCTCAGCTGACAAGTAGATAATGAAAATGTGGTTCGTCGATACGATGGAGTTTTACTCAGCAGTAAAAAAAGATGAAATCATGAAATTTGCAGGTAAATGGATGGAACTACAGTGTGGAGGACTCTTAAGAAACTAAAAATGAGCCTACCATGTGACCTTGTTATACCACTCCTTGGTATATACCCAAAGGACTCATCCTATTGCAGAGACTGGACCTTGAAACTGTTAAACTAAATGAAGTAACACAGACTCAGAAAAACAAAAGATATATGTTTTCCCTCATTTGAGCATCCTAGCACCATATTCTTATAAGTGAGTGCATATCCTGATGTAACTGCAGGAACTAGGAATATGGAAGGGAGCCAGGGAACTAAAGGGAAAGAAGAAACCCAAAAGAGAATAGTAGAAAGGTGTTACTAAGGGATAAATATGTAAAATGGGGGTAGTTAAGGGGGGGGGGGGCTAAACAAAAAGTATAGGAAAAAAAGAGGGAAAAACTTTAAGCACAAAAGGAAGTCTAAACCTGATTAAGGACTGTTGTATGAAATGTACGAAAGTTCAATAAAACTAATATTATATATATTTCTACATTTATAGGAAATGGAAAAGGTCTGCACATGTCCTTCAGGGGGAGCTTCTTAGGAGCCGTCCAGACTGGCTGCTGTCTTCCCCAGCCCGTCCTTCCTCTTCCCTTCACAGCTTGTCATTCTCCTACCCAGCTGCAAGCCTCCTCCTGTCCTTCCCTAGTGTTCCCGACCTTGAATTTCAGACTCTACTGTTCATTTCCCCTAACGTTGTGCACACAACACAAAAACACATCAGGTGCTCTGGACAGTCCTGACCCCGAGGCTGCCCGCACGGGCGGAGCCTCCTGCTCAGTGCCCTGCGCAGTAGTTGCAAAAGGAAACGGCACAGGTGGCCCTGCCTGGAACCTGGTTGCTGGGACTGCAAAGGACTCGGGTCCGGCTGCCGCCCCTCTCGGGGAGGACCCAGCACAGCCCGCTCTGGCTGCTCCAGCGGCCGCTGCTCACAGCCGGCCCGCGCTCACCATGGCCGGGTTCCGGCTTCGCCTGCGCTGTCCTCGGCTCCCCGCAGGGCGTTCAGGTCGCAGCACTCCGGGATCATCCTGGAAGAACCTGCACAACAGAACCTGCACCATGGCGGCGGAATAGAGCCCGCCTCCCCTAACCAATTGGTGCTCATGATTAGACAGCACAACAGGAAGCCCTGATTGGCTAGGGCCACCCCTGGTATCTAAGTGACAGGAGGGGCTAAGGTGATGGAGAAGCATAGCTTCTCCAGGAGAGACCCTGCCCAACCCCACGGAGATTGGCATCCAAGCAGATCTTGCTCCTGGCCTGGCAGAGCAGCTACTTCTGTCTTGTCCAACTCACTAGACACTTCCTGCCCTACCTCCGGGGCCTAGGGTCTCTCGCCCTATTACATATTCAATGTCCTACGTCATTGTCCTCTTGCCTCAGATGTAGAAAGGCACCCAGCCCACCATAGGTGACATTAGTGTTGGATCTCGAGTCCGATGTGCTCCAGGGATCTGGATTGTTCAACTCAGCCACATTAAGGATTATGTTAGAACCCAGGTCTGCTCTTTAAGAAGCTGGTCTTTCTCAGAGGCCAGATCTCACAGCCAGAAGCTACTCTGCTCCAATTCCACTTCTTCAGCTCTCTTCCTGAGACACAGTTAAGAAGCTGTCTGTGCTGTGGTTTCACAACTTTTAATTTACTGTGAAAAGGCCAAACTGACTCCATTTTGTTCACCCAGCTATCTTCCCCTCCCCTCTGCCCTGCTAGTAGCAGCCATGCAGGTCCCATGAAGGCTGAACCTGCTGCAGTTTCAGGGAATACACTGTTTTTGCAATACTGGGAAACTTACATTCAGCCAGACAGAACAATGTGGGTCACTCAAGGGAGCCACTGTTTCTGCAATTCTGAGACACTTGCTTTTCTTAACTGAAACTTAGAACTATTTATTAGCTGAACACTTTCTTTTTAACTAACCTGCCACTGTTATGGTCTTACTATGTGATCTACCGCTGTTATTGTGCAGCTCTGATTACTGACTTTGCCCCTGCTATGATGTGATTGTGGTTTTAAGCTTTATAAACCCTCCTGAGCCTCTCCTCAGGATCAGCAGTTCTTTGGGTCTTGAGCCTCCTCTCCCCTGCAGGCTAATTACTAATTCAAGGACTCTTAATTTGACCATCACTATTCGGCATTCCTCTGTGCTCCCAGAGGATACAGCTGTGGTCCTATTCAGTACCTGGCTCCTCCATTCTCCTCATCAAATAGGCTATATCAGACTGAATCACATGGTGTGGAACTACCTGCTGCCCCCTGAAACAATAAAAAAGTTCAGATATATTTCTTTTCTTTGGAGAATTTCTCTGACATCTCCTTTGGGCCCCCACCCCACATACCTTTTGTGGAGCAAGTTTCCATTAGGTTAAGTTATCCCTCTTAATAAAATTCCTTTACATGCAACTTAGTATCAAGACCTATTTATATCCTTGTGTTGGAGGCCTTTGGATAAAGTCTAACTGCCAGGTTTAAATGGCTCGTGCACTAGAGGAAAATGTCCTTGCACCCCATGAAGTGACTTACTACAGTTGTGTTCGGGACAAGATAAGATATCTTGAATATACTTTGTGAGCTATTGTGCTGGGAAGGTTTCCAAACATATTATTTCCCCAAAGACATCATTTTGTTCAGACGCCCAATGAGTTAAATTATGTATGTATTCCAGAGGAGGCAACTGTGCACTTAGGGGTACTATGGCCTTCCCATTTGGACCGAACCAAAGGTTACACAGGAATTGAAATTACAACTGATAGAATGGCCTGGTTGCAGAAAGCTGGCCTTATCAATCAGCCACTTCCCTCTCTCCTGAGAGGACTGTTGAGAGCCTGTTTCCCAAGAAGCCCGTCTCCTTGAGCAAATGGCCCCCGAAAGAGATCATAAACCCTTTGTCTCCCAAGATAAACCAGACCAAATGGTGCCAGGAAGAAGAGGGCTATTAGGGGATCATAAACTTTTCAAGGGGACCCCTGATCAGGTAGTCAGCCAGCCATAGCTATATACTATAAAAGCCCCTATGGCCCCTCCTCTGGGCAGCAGTGGATTCCAGCATGCCTGAAGGCTCCTGTCCACTGTCCTTCCTGAGGAACTTCAATAAATACAGCCTTGCCTGAGGTCAGGTAAGGTCTCTTTTCTCTCCTGTTTCTGTGTTCTGTGCCCCAAAACCCTAACAACACCCTTTTGTTGCCTGTTGTCCTTTTCTTGGTGTCACAGCATCTCTTGAGCCTGAACAGGCGGTCAGAGATAGAATGTGAATAGTGAACAGACAGGTTCTCTCAGGACATGCAGCTCCATAGAGGGCAGCTCTCTTTGTTGTTTTATCAGCCAATCTATGACCCTTTGCTCCTTCAGTGTTTGTTTTAGAATGTCCTCCGATTTTAGTGGTGGAAAATTGTTTAGGCACATGGAGAGCACTGAACAATTCTGAGATTTACTGACTATTTTAAAATAGGCTGGTCAGCAGAAGTGGGGGATTCTCTGTCTCCACAGCACGCCATAGTTGTTCACCACTCTAAATGCATAGTGACTGTATAGATGTTAGCTCTTTTGTTTTCTGCTAAATGACATGCCCTAGTTAAGGCTATGAGTTCAGTGTCTGATCAGATTTAATCCAGGTAAATGAGCAATCTCAATTATATCCAGAGTGGAGGGAACTGCATAGCCAGCCTGAAAATGCTCTTGTTCATCTCACACATAAGAGTCAATTCCCAGGTCACAGTTTATTGCTAACAGAAATCAAGGCAGGAAATCAGGGCAGGAACCTGGAGCACAGACCATAAAAGTACACTGCTCACTGTCTTGCTTCCCTGGTCTGTGCAAAGCCCTCCTTCTTTAACTATGTAGGAAGACCTGCCCAGGGGTGGCACCACCCACAGTGGGTTGGGACCTCCCATATCACTCAACAAGCAGGAAAATGCCCCAGGGACACAGGCCACTCTAACAGGGAAAGTTCCTCAATTGAGAGTCTCTCTACACAGGTGTATCAAGTTGACAATTTATGCTATCCAGCACCATTACTGAAAACTATGCTCTATTTAGAGGAATGTTAGGTAATAAGGTGTGGGGAGTGGTGGTACATGCTTTTGGTCCCAGAACTTGAGAAGCAGAGAAAGGCAGATCTCTGTAAGTTTGAGGCCAGCCTGATCTATATACTGAGTTCTAGGCCAGCTGGGGCTACAGGGAGACCCTGTCTCAAAAAGACAAAAAAAAAAAAAAAAAAAAAAAAAAAGTGTGTGTGTGTGGGGATTAAGCGCTACTGGATGGCGAGGGATGACTATCTAATTTATGGCCTAAAAGTCTTGTAGAAATCTCCACCTTCTCCCATTTGGCTGCTTTATAGGTAATGTTGGAGTATTACAAGGGATTATAAGCCCTTTTTCTCTATTCTACTATGATGGGTTTGATTCTCATTAGGGCTTCTTGCCTCAAAGGGTGCTGCTTTACATTTGGCAAGAGTTTGCTTTTATCTCTTGTTATATAAATTGGAGCAGCAGATCTTGTTCATTCTATGGCTGTTGAGGATTTTGCCCACAATCACTTTGGTACTTATAAAAGGAGGTTATCAACATCATCCTGTAGGGTTTTTTTTGTTTTGTTTTGTTTTGTTTTGTTTTCTGTCTCCTTCATAAGCGGCATGGAGAAAAGGGGGACTGGAGTTTTTAATTGTCTGAAGTTTAGGATGATCGCTCTCTTTTGGGAAAGGAGATATGAGTATTTTGTATTTCTAGAAAATCATGTTGTAACAAATGGATAGGGGCACAATCGACCAGTAGAAAAGTACGAAACCCCATTGTTTCTCCATATTGAAATTTTATAGGGTTTGTCTAAAATGCAGTTATGGGCAGGTTAGAAACTCCCATCATTTGAGTTTCATTTTTACTCTGAAGGAAAGACTTTTTAAACATGGTAGGATTTAAAACAGATAAAGCAGCCCCAGTATCTATGGGGGGGGGGCTTGTTTTCTCTTCATTAATAATTGTCTCCATTTCTCCTAGGGGGTTAATAAGAAGAAAAGGAAAAGCTCTTTGGATTCTTAACAGTCGCATTCCAGTCTTCCAAGTGCTCCCTGGGAGGCCTCCTGCTCTTGTTGGGAGAGCACCCATTTCAGTTTCTTACAATACCTTTCAAATGGCCAGGCTCTTTGCAATAGTTGCAAATGACCTTGTCTTTTTCCAGACAGAAGGAATTTGTAGTTTTTCCTGCCTGTCAGCTTAGGTGTTTGTAAGCTCATAGATTTGGTAGTGATTTTCATTTACTTTTTTATAATAGTTCTGGAAAGTTGGCTGCTCTGGTAACAAGGGCATCAGTGGAAAGGAAGGCCCGGGTTCTGTTATGAAAAAATCAAAGACCAATAGCCAAAGTCAGGTGAGGAGAGGGAGTTTAATTTTACACTAGGGGACTGCTCCAAGGATCCTTCTGTAATGGAGTCAGTGGCACTTTCCAGTTTGGGGCACTTTTATATTCACATGTGAGGAAATGCAAGCAAAAGGCAAAACAGCACATACATGACAATTAAGTAAAAAGGTACATGTGATAATTAAGCAAGATAACATATAGCCATAAAAGTTACAGGAATGTGGAAACTTTGGAAAACAAAGACTTCCATCCTGGGCAACCACAGGAGGCAGAGTGGGGAGACTCCTGCTTACCTCCCCCATACTTATCTCCTGTCTCAGAGTTTTCTCTGCTTGCTAGAAAGTTCTTTTATTTTATTTTATTTTATTTTATTTAATGTGTATGCATGTATTGCCTGCATGTAGGTAAATGCACCCATGTCATGCAATGGCCGGCAGAGGACAGAAGAGGCTGTCGGATCCCCAGGAACTGGAGTTATGGACAGTTGTTAGCTGCCATGTGGGTGCTGAGATTCGAACCCAGGTCTTCTGCAGAACAACCAGTGTTCTTAACCATTAAGCCCTCTCTCCAGTCCTCCAATGTTCTTAATTGCCATCACAGTGCAAAAAGCTTTCTAGTCCCTCCTCTTTATCAACATAATCCTTTATGTTATTTAATAGGAATTTAAGATATTTTTGACTATTACCTGGAGTTTGACAGCATTTATTTATTTT